ATTTGTCATTGTGATGCACTTAAGAATTCCTACTCAAAATTTGATGGTTGGAATGCTCTGTCTTCATTATAACACAGAAGGCTATTGAATCTTACATTTACATGGTCCTAAGTAGTACTATGTGTTTTGATGGCCGAGTTGCTCCAAATCATTGCTCATTTATGTGGTAAACCATTTAGCATGAACTACATTTGTGGGGCGGGAGATGCTTAAGTAATGAAGGCAAGTGTAAACCATATTCGGATTTGCGGAGCCTACGACTAACTAATATTAAGTTACAGGAGTCGTGATGTTGGGCCTAAAAATTGGCCCTTTGGAGGACGGTGAAGGCTTTTAAGTGGGGACTTATTGGTTCGGTAAACGAGTTTGGCTCAAAATATGTGAAAACTACCCATAAATATAAGAATAAAAGCCTAGTTATACTGATAAGGTAAAACCAGTTGACTCAATTGCACTTACAGTAAAATATTTATAATACTGATAAAAATTTTATTTGATGAGGCCAGATACGAAGGCGTCTTATCTCAACATAACGACTACTGTGAGGCTTGAGCCTAGAAGAGATAACAATATTAATGACACATGATAAATTCAGTTGATTATTGACTACCTTCGCTAAAAGGTCTTTCAAGCTCAACTAGATTTAGCCTGTGGAATAAAAAATCAAAAAACAAGAAACGAGATTTTGTGAATTATTTTGTCTCAATTAGGGAGGACATGAAGTTCGTCACTAAACTTCTAAAGTAGTTACCATAATGCGCTCAGTATTAGTAATTGTATGTTATGTAGTGCATAACATTGCGTAACGAATTGTATTCGGCAAAAAACAAAAAGATATTAAAATAAATAACTCACACTATTCTGCCTCAAACTTCCACTAAATGCAACATATGATTGTGCTATTTTGCAGATTTTTAGTTCAGAAATCAAAACCGCTTGCATCATATAACACTTTGACTCTGTTTAACTCTAGGGTTTGGTGAAGAGCTACTTAGGGCTCCGCGATTGAGTCTCTGCCAGTAACCCTCAAGTTTTTCTGTTGGTAAGCCATACATATTCTACCTGGCAGTTAAGTCTTCTTTCCTTTTTAGGAAAATCCCGGTGTGCTGCAATTATACCGAGTTGAGGGTACAGACATTGTCTAGTCAAAGTAAAAACCATTTTTTTTTGAATATTACATTGAAGCAAAAAGCAAATGAGCTTTTTTATTTAGTAAACGAACGATTGGAAGATGCAAAGTTAGTACGGGTAAATTGCCGGCAAACTACACAACTTGTGTCGGTAATCAGTGCAACAGAGACTACTTCATTAAAAAAATAAAAACAATCATTTTTTCCATGCAATATTTTCGCACAGACAAAAGTATTGATGCATACTAGAGGCAATGATTCAAGAAATCTAAGACTCACATAACTGTAACTGCAAAATAGCCTATTTTGTATTGTTGATTGGTGAAGCTGTCACACATCGATGCAATTTTTCATCTGCCTCCCTGAAAGGTTCAAATTACACCTCGAAGGGAAACGATCACGCACAATAAACAATTTTCTTACGTAGTTGTTTAGAGGGGTCGCAGAAACTAATCAACAAATGGTTACACAAACAGGCTTAGCATAAAAGGAAGAAAGGTTTGGAAGAGTGATTAACATTTCTAAACCAGTTTATCATTTTTCTTTAACTTACAGATCTTTCTAAACTACACTAGGCACACAGGAACCCGAATCTATTTGAAAGATAGAGGAAGTAGAAAGTATCCAGCATTCGATCTTAATGTTTTCGTTTAGTATTTTGTAGAATTGAAGCGTTTTTGGGGGAAACGTGACTTGCATAGAAAATTTATAGTACCTAATTGCATACAATTTTTTGCAGCTTTGAACTACAGGTGATGACAGAGGGAGCCACTCGACCCACCTACCAATATAAACGAGGCTCTTGGTGAAATACTTAACCATTCTTGGTCAGTGAACCCAAAATTTTTTTACGAGGCATGAGTAAGGAATAAACAAGGCCTATAATTATCTTTTTTGATGACAAAGGTAGATAATGATAGAGTTCACATTTTAGAGTGAGATTAGTTTAGAGATTTGGAGAGGTGGCTTAAATAGTTGTCGTTTCCAGTCACATATCTTTTCCCTAAAAAATACCATTTTTGAACAGAGCATTAAGATTACTTCGGATTTCTCACAGAATGGCAAGATTTGGCTAATTTTGAAATAGTAAAAACACTGGTAGAATCGAGTACTTAAAAACACCACAATATGAATAAAGTCGCATGCCTCGTACTTGTAAATTGAATGTATATTGGAGACCCAGAAAAATAGTAGAAAGTAATTTGATGATCGACGTAAATCACAAGAGACCTTAATTTGTCAGCATGCCTCCATTCTGCATAAATGAACTATGATTTAGATTCATGATTGACATACCATAAAATTTATAGTATAAAACTGTCATGAGCCCCAAGCAGTCCGATTTTTGAATTTATCCTGGAATTACGCCCTTCACTGTTCTAGATGACTTAGCAAAAACACGATCCTTAACAAATTCTGGTAAATGTAATCTAAAACTAGCATTGGGTCTAATTGATTTTCCGCAGTTAAATTTAACCATTTGTGTGAATTTGTATTAGACTATGTCACATATGTTTAAACTCATGTTCCTGAAAATTAGTAGGTTGAAACCACTCACGACAATACAATGAGCTGGACATGGGTTAAACGGTGTATTGATCCATGCCACAGGCGCGTTGTAATGCAAGGAGGTAATCGATATCATCTGCTTTTACTGCGCATGTGACAGTGCAGGGTACACCTTACAAGTACCACAGATCTTCTTAGAAAACATCACACTAATTATTGTCTCTGCCTCAGGGCTTGGAATTTCAAATCTAATTAGATGTCATTTTGAAAATCATCGCCATAGTTAACGTTCCGATTATTGGCGGATATTGCCCGCACTTTTTTGGCATAGATTACAACCACACGCAACAAGCTTAGGTAGCCACTGCTATTTAACCCCCTATACTATTGGCTGGCAGAGTAGTGTGCTCACGCACAGAGAAATTTAATATATAGTGCTACACGTCATTTTGTATCGTCAAAGTAGCGATTTGCAATATACAAAAAGCGAACTGAATAATGCCTTCACGTAGAGCGCCAAGAGCTGGTAGGAATTCACTTCTTCCTTTCTTACCTTTTTCCTTAATAATTCATACTTTCTGTGTCTCACAAATGAAAAGTTTGCTCTGAGGAATGAATAAACTTAACCTGCCCCGTTCCTTTTAGCTAACCCCAAGGC